AATCATCTGCATTTGGCCTGCAGCTTTCCATTTCTCTGTAACCCCTCCTGCCTGGCCTGAGGGCTTCCTCAGCAGAACCTTGAGGGGTTTCTGTTTCATCAGAAGCTTCAGTCCAGTGAATCACTTGCCTCCTCTGAGAACTGGAAACCAGACAATCTTGTATACCACAATTTCATAAAGTGGGACCAGTCTGAACGTCTATTTCATCCAAACACTACATCTGCCTTTCTGGTGTTTAGGACTGAATAGTTAGAAGAGGCTGGACGTGAGAAGTGCAGCATTGGGAGGTCAACAGTTGCAGTCACTGGTCTCCCCCAGCCAAGCCTGCAGGCCAGGACCATCTCAGGAGCATGCCGCTGCCCCTCCTGGGCCCACGTCACTCAGCTGGTCCCCAACAGCCCCTCAAAGCCCTCATGGACAGCACGTGGTCTGTTTAGAAATAAAATGATACTCAGAGGAAAAAAACGAGAAACTTAATAGGATTTAAAAAGCCACAGGACCTGATGGGGCTACAGATGGTGGAGGGCCTGGGAGGAGGGAATTGGGGCTGGGTTTATGGTGGGGAACGTGGCCTCAGGGAGGGCCTAGCAGTAACGTCACATGCATTGTGTCCAACCTCATTAGTCGGCCCAGCGGGACTCCACTGCCACACCAGTGCTGCCGTGGTGAGGGGAAGGACGCCCTGAAGAATGTACGAGGGGCAGCAAAAGGCTGCAAGAACTCGGCTAAATGGCTGGGCCAACACCTGCCTGGAGGGTCCAAGTGGAAACAGTAACTCACGGGGCTGTCACACCTGCCCCAACCTTCCACTCCCTCCTCGCTCTGCTCAAATCACGTCAGAGAGAGACGGGACGTGGAGATTTGAGGGAGAGAGGCCGGCACAGGCAGAGAGGAGAAATGAGGGCTTCTGTGTCTAGAAATGGAAGTCCTGGGAGCAAACAGAATCTGCAGTGTTGTTCAGCCCCAGGCAACCCCGAAGGACTTGGAAAGGGTAGGTGGGCATGAAAGAGGCTTCTTTGCATCCCAGAAGCTTCCCTGGAGGTCTGCCAATAGTAGCTTGCTATGACTGCCTTTTCACACCTGGAGCTCAGAGCTTCTCCTGCTGAGCCCTTCCCAGTCTACCCCAGGCCCTGCAGCCAGGGGGAGCAGCCGGACTTCACTAAAGCAAGATCAGTGTCCTGCCTGCTCTCACTTCCACGGACGCATCAGACCTCTTTCTAGGTTCTCTGCTGGACTTAGCCTTACACCAGAGAAAGAAGAAATAAGCCCCCGACCATCCCGGCATGACAGTGGCCTGTCAGCCTTAGCTCACAATCCATCCATATCAGAGACCCCAGCCCTGGGAATTAAAGGCTGTTTCTGTACCCGTAGCTCTCCAGCAGACGTTGTGTCCACAGCCATACTCAGGACACCCCTCTCCTTCTGTGTGTGACCAGAGGACTCTGCTAGATGCACTAGGAGCAGAACAGGAGGCTGGGTCCAGGAAGTGCCTGTGCAAGAAGCAGCAGCCCCCTTGGGAGACGGGGAGGTGGGGAAGTGGGGAGGCGGGGAGGCGCTTTCAGGAGAAAGGCACCTTTCTCCTCCGCCCAGGGCCGCTATAGGTTCCCCAGCAGAAAATGAGTCTGTTTGTGCACCTGTTAGGCAATGGGTGGAGGTTCTAGGGCAGTGATGGTGAACTTTGTAGAGTTTTCAGAGATAACAAATAGCCCACTGTGGCTCGAGTGCCATAGGTTCGCCACTACTGTTCTAAGGGCACACACGTCCTGTGTCCCATGTTCTTGGGTCCTTGGGACACTATAAGCCTGGGAGCAAAGTTCTTGGAGCTCTGATAAGGATTGAGCCTGAGAAGGATATTTCCTTTCCAGCCCCTCCAGTCTCCTAAAGGAGTATTTCATGGATATTAAGTTATTTTAAACCAACTTTCTTAAAAAAAAAAAAAGTGCTTGGTGATAGTGCTGACTCAGGACCATCTCACTGTTTAATATTGAATATGCAATTAATAGATAGATGTTTAGGTTTGGCTCTCTTTCCCCTTTCTACTGCAGGAAGAATAAAAGAGCTGATTAATCTGGCTTGGGGCAAGTGTCAGCAGCAGGAGATATATGGGAGAAAGGAGATGAGGTTAGCAACTTGGAGTCAGAGAGCGATTGCCTCCCAGGCCAGTGAGGGAGAAAAGGGATGCAAAGAGAGCTCTGTGAGGCTGTGGGGCAGAGGTACTTCTGATAGCTCACAAGGTTCTGAACACCGCCATCCTGGACCTGCCTGCTCCCTGCCAAGGCCTCTGCTCACCCCCAGAACAGTGGGCTCGGTTCATGGCACCGTTGCTCCTTCTCCAGATGTGGCAACTCCCCTCCTTCAAGGCCAGAAGTGCCACCTTCTCAATCATCACCTCCTCTGAGGCCCCTAGCTGTCCCTTCCTCCATGACTTGACTCTGGGACTACCGGTGGCAGGCACATGCTGTCTAAGCCGGCTTCCTCTACTGGGGGTTCTTCTCCCTGGCTTCCTCCCATCCTCCTGCCCGTACTTCCTGAACAGAGTGCTGCTGAAGGTGAGTTACTGTGCGCCTGGGTGACCCTGGCCCTGATGGGCCTGCCTTTTGGAGATGGTCTCCAGGAAAGGCCCCTGGGTCTCTACAGTCCTGGGTGAGGCTGAGCACGGACACTGCTGCTGTCATTGCTGGGAAAAGGGCAGGCACAGGTGGCATGAGCCAAAGTGGGCTTTGCTCACTCCGATACCTCACACCTGAGCCGTCTTTGCCCCTCAGCTAACTGGACCTCGTCTGTTAGGGTCCTCAGGACTGGATGTGCTCAGGGGTCCCTGGGGAGATGTGTCCATGCTCCCAGGCACGGGGCTTCTTCAGGCAGCACCAAGAGATCAGCCCAAGTCTGGTGCATGTGCTCACAGGTCCATGTTGGGAAGGGCCAGATCATAGAGTCCTTGTGCCCAGCTCAGGCACTGCTGGGATATACAATGGTGCTGGCCTGAGATGGAGGGGTGAGGGAGTACTCTGAGCAGGTCCCAGGGACATGCAGGCCACCTGTTGTCACAATACAGTTCCTTCCAGGACAACTGGCTCTCCAAATTTCTAAGTAGCTTTAGTCTATTTCACTTTTTGCTCTTAATTTCCTGGTAAACTTTCTGGGGGGAAGAAGAGTTTAGAGAAAGAGGAATTCCTTAGTGCCTGGCTAAGCTACTGGGCAGGAAGAGCCAGGTGGTAAAGGGACCTGGGCTTGGGGAGAGCGGTAGACACAGTCACCTAGGTCAGAGCCCAGGCTGGCGGAGGGGTTTGCGGAAAACACCAGGAGCCCCTGACTGGGAAGCTATCTGGGCTTTCTGAACCTACCAGTCCTGCTTGGGGAAGAAGCAGGCTGGAGAACACCATGGTGGCTGTACCTGATATAACCTTCTCAGAACAGAAAAGGCCTCAACTCCTTACACGTCTCTGAGCGACCTCATGGAATGTTCTCCTGGAGTTTTCTAAGCCCTTCCTGGCAGTTCCTATTCTCAGTAAGGCCCTTTCTGGTAGGAGGCTGGAGGCAGTAGGTCCTTCCTCTTCTTCTCCCCTGGGGTGTCCTTCTGATATATGGCTACTCAGTTCCCAATCTGGTTAAGCCTCTATGTGTCCTTGGGCTGGGGCTCCTCACAGGTGGACAGGACACAGCATTGCCTTGGGAATCCTTGGCCTGTTTGGCTGCTTGCCCAGAGAAGAGGCTGAAATCACAGTTCAGGGCTGAGACTGGGCAGGGCCAGGAGGCTATTGAGAGGTGGCAAGGGGCTGTTGGTCAGCAGAATGAGAAGCAGGAGGGATGAGACCCTTCTCCCCCAAGAAAGTGGGCCAGGAAGGGGGACCTAGCAGGAGCCTGCAGAATTGCTTCCTCCCTTTGGGGCTGATGTGTCTCCTTCTCTCCCTCAGGTGAATCAGGATGGACTCATGGGGGTCAGTTTGCTATGGGAGGAGTCAGTGCTTGTTGGTGGAGGCCCAACTGTGATGCTGAAGGTACAGTGGTGCCTAAGTTTATGAACTTAATTTGTTTTACGATTTGGGGGAAGATGGCTACATTGGTGTGGGGGGGCATGGTTGTGTTTGTCATGTGATGTGGAGTTTGTAAACAGGAACAAAATTTTGCCAAATGTTTTCATTTGTGAACTGAATTGCTTGCAAACAGAAATGATGGTGAACCAAGTATAACTGTACTTGGGCCACTCCCCTCATTTTCATTTAAAATTGCAGCATGTTTGGATCCTGTCTAGGGCATCCTAGGGACAGGTCTGTTCCCAGAATGGGGCCGGGTTATTGTTAGAGCTGAGATGCAGCTCCAGAGAGGCTGTCACTAGGGACAGTGCTATCCCTAGCTGCGCCTGCCCTGCCCTTCCAGGCTGAGCTTCAGCATGAAGCAGTTCCTTCACACAGCTTTCCACTGAGGGGCTCTGCCATCTCACGTCAGGCTCTGGCAGGTTCCACATTCTAGGACAAGCATTTATGGGTGAGCCATGTGCTTTTCCTCTGTCCCCTTCCAGATATCTGTCTGCCTGCTTGTACTAGTATGTACCTGTCCAGTCTTTACCTCCACACCAGGCTGGGTGTCCCACACTCCACCAACAGCCCTTCAGATATGCCCCTCCACCTGAATTATCTTAGGGCAGGGCTGCAACCATTGCCTGCCTCCTGGCCAGGCACCCCTTCACTCAATCCCATCACGGTAGGGTCCTCAGCACCAGGGCAGGCACACCTTTTTTGGTGTTCCAAAGGGGGCAGGGAATGCCCCGTGACATACTACTTTCCCTAGAACAGTGGGAACCCTGCATGCAGCACACCTGTCTCCCAGCCCCTCACTGCTTTCCACACCAGTCATTCAGAGCTCCAAAGCCCTGACACCATCTTCCAGCCCTGGGATCCCCCCTCCCTCGGGGGGCAGGAGGAGGAGGCAGGGAGTCGCTGCACCGGGACAAAGTGGGCAGGGAAGAGAGGAGGGAGGGGCAGAGACAAGTGGGCCCTCACGTGAAGGGGGCTGGCGCAGGCAGCTACTACCTCCTCGGCTCTCGCTGTCCGCGGGCTTCACCTGGATCGGCCGGTTCATCTGCAAGAGAGCACAGGGGACAGTGTTACAGAGGTCCTGGGGAGAGGGGCAGACACCTGCGCTCACAGGTGCCCACTTGCTCCTGCACAAACCACTCCCAGAGACACCCACCCACACGTGGATGGGGCATCTTCCCAAAGCTCCGCCCCCGCCCCCCCGTAAGGCACAATCCTAGGGCCCCCGTATTTCAGAGGGTTGCTCTGGATTCGAGACACTTTGGGGCTCTCCTTCCACTCTGAGCAGCTCTTGCTAGCTGGTCATGGCAAAATCCAAAGGGCAATCCTGCCCTTTACATCCACGAGGTCCTCCCGTACCCAAGGCTCACCTGTGGCCCAGACCTGCTTTCCTCAAGACAGTCGGCATTGCCAAAACAAGCCGGTCTGTATACAGACGGACCTCTGCCCTGCCCAGTGCATGGCTTTGAGCTTCGCCTCACCCGTGGCATCTCGCAGGCATTGCACGTGGGATGGAAGTGGCTGAAGTTGTGGGGCTTCCAGCTCCTCGTCTGGAGCAGAGCTCAGGACTGGGGCACCCGACTGCAGCCAGCGCTGTTCCCTCAGGGATGGACTGGGCCTAAGCCACTGTCTCCCACGGTGTCCGCCTGCCAACGGATCCTGAGGCACTGCCAGACTGACTCCCTAGGCTTGCGGACCACAGGCCTCTCGCGGGATTCGTGTCAATGCGCCATTCTGGCCACTAGGGGTCTCTGGACTCCAAGCATCCTGGCTCAGCAGCTGTTTTCAACTCGCCTGCAGGCACCAGGGTGGGCTTTCCAGCTTTAAGTTACCACCATATTTCAGACAGTAAAAACGATAGAAATCACGCCGGTGCATCGTGCCTTATGTCTTTGCCACTGCTGCCTGCCATGTCCCTCCTGGATGCCTTATTGCATTTGCATTTGACTCATAAACACAGGTCCCTGAGAGGCAGGCAGGGCAGCATGTTCACCTCCACTTTACAGATGGAGAAATCAAGGCTCGGAGGTCTTCAGCTTTCCCCCTCCTGGCTTCCTCGGGCCAGTAGCCGCAGTCCAGCGTTTGAGACTTTGTTGCCAGTTCCCCTCTTGTACAGGGGCTGGGCCAGCCAGTCACAAGCCTCCTGCCTTCCGGTCTAGGATTCAGAGCGAGTTGGCATGCAGCAGACAGCTAGGGGGGAAGTGAGGATCCCCGTGACTCAGCAAGGTGAAGCTGAGGCCAGAAGAAGGACAGAGCTTACAAGGAAGGACAGAGGCAGGAGGCAGGACACGAAGCAGACGGGGAAGGAGGCAGAGGGGACCAGGGCTGGCAAGGCAGGACTCCTGAGCCCCTGCACTCAGAGGGGCCCGGGAGTCACTGTTTGCTTCCTGGTCCTCATCTAACACCCCCGACGGAGTTGAGGAAAACAAAGAGCGATGCTTCACATGTAAGCTCCGGCAGCAGGAGAAACTGCCTACATCACACTAACCACAAGAGGGAAGAGAGTTGTGACGATATTTCTGGCTTCCTCACAAACCACTGCCTTTCCAGGGTTTGAGGGAAGGGCTTAGAAGGCCAACCAGGCACCTGGGTGTGCAAAGGGGCTCCAGGGCGGGACCAGATCATTCGTGATTTGCCTTTTGGAAGCCAACATCTCACCCTTTCCCAGTCTACTCTTCTCCCTGGACTGTTCCTTCTTCCTCATCCTCCCTCAAACGTGCAATGTCCAGGAAGGTTCTGAGGTCTGCCCTGGTCCCAGTTCTGGCCAGTATATTCTCTTGAACATTTTTAACAGGCTTATGTGAGTTCACAGTTGTCAGAGGTAGGGATTGTTATCTCCATCTTGCTGGTGAGGAAACCTGACCAGGATTCAGCCAGGAGAGGCTAGTGTAGCCCTAACAGTGTCACAGTCATTGACCTTTCTGTATTTTCTATCACTGACCTAAGCTTCTCTGGGAGGAGTAAGAAAGTGGAGAAAATATCCATGTGGAAATGGCAGTTTGGGGTGAGATTTTTGAGCTAGCTAACGGAGCACAAGCTCTTTTGCCTGGAGTCTGACCCCACTATCTCCTGCGCCATGCCCACCTCAGTCTCCACACCTTCCTCCCCCACCCAGGTCCATTCCCTGGGTCTGCAGGCCCTGTCTGCCCTCAGCCTCCTCCTCCTCCTCCTCCTCCTGATATGTTACTCATTCTTTGAGGCTAGTCTACAGGATCCCTGTTACAGACCGAATTGTGTTCCCCCACCTCCTGACTCATATGGTAAAGCTGTGACCTCCAATGTGACTATGTCTGAAAACAGGAACTTTAAGCAGGTAACTAAAGTTAAATAAGAGCAGGGTCTTAATTCCATGGACTGGTGTCTTTGTAAAAAAAAAAAGAAAGCACTGGAGGCATAAGCACACAGAAAAGGCCATATGAGGACACAACAGGAAGATGGCTCTCTTCAAGTCACAGAGACAGTCTCCTAGACCTTGTGCACACTTGAATCTTGGACTTCCTGCCTCCAGATATGCGGTGTTTGAGCCACCAGTTTTCTCGCTCTGACAGCCCCAGCAGATAAAATGAGCCTTTAGTCCATAAAGCCTAGACCATTCCCCTGGGTCGGAGAGATATCACAGGGTTCCCCCATTTTCCATGCAGAAGATACACTCAAGGTGGGGACAGACTTGTGGGAGGTAGGGGCCACAGGTTCCTCAGGCTTCCTCCCCAAGGGAACACAATACTTGTGAGAACATGAACAGCTACTCTACACATTGTATTCTAGATTATAACTTCTCTTAGCATGTATGTGAATAGATTCTCTTTAAACTCAGTCAATGCAACAGAGCTTTGGAGAGAGGTTAAGAAACCCGCCTGAAGTCACACACATGATAGAGTGGTATCAAGATGAATCCAGGACTCTTGACACTCGCATATGTGTTCAGAAGATGATGGGAACCAGGCAGGACAGGGCTTCGGAGTGGTCGAGGAAAGCTTAGGCCAAGGACAGAGGGTGGAGCGCAGGTGTCTGATGGGGATATGCCCAGCAAGGATGGGGAGGAGGGTGTGGCTGAGGAGGGGCTGGCAGGGGCTACCAACAGGAGCAGCACCTGTGAGGTCAGGGGGGCAGCAAAGATGCCCCATTCTAGGCTGGCCTGTGGCCAGCAGACCCTTCAGCTTCAGGGGTGCTGTATGGAGGAAGTGCAGGTCCCTGAGGGAGACCCCTAATTCTGAGTTCCACGCCAGTCTTTTCTGGATGGGCCTGAGAGCAGTTGGGGCGAGTCCTACAGATTCAGGAGCTGGGATGGAGCTATTTCTGATATGACGAGTCCTATTTTTGATGGCAAATTAAATGAAGCAATGAAAGCCCTCTGTGCACGGAGCCTTCCACTCTGATGGGCACCCCCCTCAGGTAGCCAGTCCACTGTCCTCCATCTTTGGTACCCAATTGTGTGTGAGCCCCATTTTCCTGATTTAAGCCTGGGCTTGTCTTCTTCTGGATCCTTCTCTGCTTATATCAGCTCTGGACAGCGCTTCCACACCTTGTGCACGGCTTGAAGCTGGCCTCACTCACTCACCCACAGACCCCTCCACAGACCCCTCAGCTTCTCTCCAGCTTCACTGTGGATCCCCGACAGGGATCTAGTGTCTCAGCCAGCTTCCCACCTACCCTCAGCCATGGGTGGGCACCCACGGGTGCCAGAAACAGACTAGTGGTGTGGAACTGATTGCCTCCACTGGAGCCATGCCTTCTGGGGCAATTTGTGATGTGAGAGTGGTCGGTGTCCAGGGCTTTGCATAGCTCATCAGAGAGGTGCCAAGCTAGATGGTGAGATAAGACACAGTCCTGTGATTTCTTAATTCTCAGCAGAAATAAATCGTCGGGATCTGGTGGAAAAGTTTCTCATCTGGGGCTAACTCTGTACGGGCCTGAAAGGGAACTCTTGCTCCTGTCCCCAGCCCTCTCCTGGTCCAAATCTTGGTTCTGCCTTGAAGAGGGAGGTGTGAACAGAGTAAGCTGGCCTGGGCAGAGGAGGTTAGGCCGCGCTGCAGAGATGGGGAGAAAGAACAAGACAGAGTACAATTTTGACAGAGGCTGGGGAAAGAATGGGAGAACGCCAGGCCTGAGAGTAAGACGGCACAGAAGGGTGAAGGGGAGAGGGAGGAGGTAGAGAGAGAGCTAGGCAGGAGAATGGAAGCCCCAAAGAGCCAACTGCCACCTCTCTGCCCTTCTTGTATCTTTGTCCCTCAGGTCCTGGCCCTCACTCTGGCTTCTGTGTTGCTCTAGCCTTGTCTCCCCCATCTCATACTCCTGGTCCAGCTGTTCCTTCCAGCTGTGTGGCGCCCCTCTAGGTGGCTCTGGGGTTGTGCTGGTGGGATCCTGGCTGGGTTGGAGCTTTGTTGCTGACTTTCCACAATGTCTGTCACCAGTGTCTCCATCGTGGCCCTGTGGCCTTCTGTCTGGGTCCTGCCTCCAGGGGCTGAGGATGGTCTGCCCAGTCAGGCTGCCTTTTGTGAGTCAGGAGCATCTTTCTGAGGTCTCTTTGGAGGCTCCTAGTGTCAGTCGTCTGGGGACATCACTTGTGAGCTGTGCTCTCCTTCCAGCCAGTGCCCCTCCAGGGGAAGCCAATGAGCCTGCCCCAGGACTCAGGGACATCTTTGCTCCCCAAAGCCCTTTCTCTGCTCCTGGCCTCTTCCTCTTTGGCTCTGCTACCCTTCCCCCTCTCTATCCCTCTGCCATTTTTTGCATCAACACATAGCCATGCATTAAACAAGACATTCCATTAATTTCTTCATCATCATAACTTAAGCTGGGACATACCCTTTAAATATTCATTCAGCTATGAAAACTGGGCATTAAAATTTTAATAATGTCAAGCTCATTTGAACCAGCCTCCTTGGGGACGATTACGATACAATTAGAATAAATACGATGATTGAGCCAGTTGAAAGGCTTCACCTGTCCAGCGTGGCTCCCTGTGAAAGGAGAAGCCTGTGGCTGTGGGCAGACAGACTGACAGGCCAGCCTTTCTTGGCTCCTTCTCCCTCTCGTACATTCCCCCTC